CTTTTCGTGTTTGTGCGTGTGCCGTGATCGCAGCCTTTCTGTTGTGCTGATCAATTCGTGCTCTTCAGCTTGTTTTCCCTGTACTTCCGACTTTCTCAGGCAGCTGCTTTCAATAATGTTTGTGCACCGGGCCTCTCTCAACAGTGTTTGTTCACTGATCGCCTATTCAGGATACCTCTACCACTACCTGGCCTGATGACAGTGACGAGCAGGCGCTTTCCGTTCTAGCCCGCAACTCATTATAAAGAAGAAAGGGGAAATTGCAAGAGCTCAAGATGCTGCAGCTGGGGTTCTCTTGGCCTTTGGTGGCAGAAGGCAGCCTCCCACTTACCAGGTCTTAAAAAGAAACATAAAACAAAAAACATCCATCTCCGGCGCCGTCCAAAAGAGGAAGATGTCTTGTGTTTTCTTCTCCTCAGACTTGGCATCTTCGGAGATCTTTGCACTTCCTTTCAGCAATAGACACTGAAGAGGAAGATGCAATCTTTTGATGCCGAGGGGATGCCCTCAACCACTTCCTTGCCCATGCCTGGATCGCAAGGTGGAAATGAGCCTCGGGCAAGTCATATAGAGTGCCACGGTCAGATGTATCCCAGTCAATATTTGGATTGGTGCAGCGGGTAATTAGGGTGCTTGGGGCATTTGCGTACAGAAGCATTGGGTGTAGTTTCTGTCAATGTAAAACCACTATAAACCACTCATGAATAATGAACACTGGGCACATCTGGGCACTCATATTTGTAGGGTGCTAGATAGCGTAGCCAAGAGTCTCTTTGCCTGTTGCCATATTGCTTTGACCTGCTTTCTTGATTTTCGAGCTGGGGTGACGTAAGGATATGGAAAACATCAGCGGCTGGGATCAACCACAACGACGACTATCCATGTTTCTTGGATGAACTCCTTGATGAGACAACCATGGTGGTTCAGCTTGACTCTCGGTCTCGTCGTTGCCCCGGTCTTTGATCCGGGCTGTGACAGATAAGGATCTTTCTACAGAGTCCTCCTAAGTGGTATTTAATATGTTGGTTTCTTGCATCAAGTTATTGAGCGGCCTTCAGGTGTTTTGGCTCAACTCAGAAAACCTGAGCCCCGAGCCGCATCCCACATGAACATTGGCAGCCTGCAAATCACGGCCACGGTGCCACCTCCCCTGTTCTTCTCAGATGCCTGCGTTTGCGCTCCAAACGTTGAAGTGGACATAGGCGATCTTTGCATTGCTCCCCTGCCACCGGGCGAGCCATCGCATAGTGGTCGATTTGGTCGATGGAAGAGGAAGCAGCGGCATTTAGCCCAACTCCGGAGTTTTCTGGAAAGGAACAAATTCCAAGATGTGAATGATTCACTTCTCTTAGAAGAGGAAGTGGTCTATCCCATTCATGTTGCTGCATTGCTTGGAAAGTGCCGGCTCGTGCGCATGTTAGTGGATCACGGTGCCGATGTTGAACAAAAGACCTCTTGTGGCCGAACAGCTGTGGACTTTGCAGAGCGCTGTCCTGAAGCAAGACCTGTGGTTGACTATTTACATTGCCTTCGAGACCAGAAGACAATGACCATGCGGGATTTTTTGAGCAAAAGCAACTCCGTGTATCCCAAAGTTTGTACAGATGAGGATAATACCCAAGCACAGTGAGCTCACTGCCCCTACAGGCCCGCGTTGACTGCTGCTTGATCAGTCCTTCGCCTCGGCCATTTGTTAATGCCACTCTTTGACTCGCTTCATTCCCATTTTTCACTGTGCAGGCGCTGCTTTCAGGGGGCTGAGTCCAACATATTTTAAAATTTTGCAAGTGCTTTGAAGCAAGACCCTTTGCTTCCGCGGCTTCTCACTGTCCAAGAATGGTCCAAAACCCCCTGCTCCAGAGGCAAAAGACTTGCAGTATTTTGCAGTCCGCGCGGTACAAATATATGTTTGCTAAGCTAGTTGCCCCAGACAGAGTTGACAGGAATTCAAGGTTCATCCCTGACCCCAAGGCTCGATTTGAAGCTATGGCAAGACATCATTCAAATGGTGCTTGTTCAATCTTGTACAGTTTACAATTTGTATAATTTTGGTATTTAAGCTAAGCACCACTCCCATTGTGGAATGGTTTGTCGCAAGCTGCCTGGGCTTATCGGGGTACCAAGTGAACTAGTTTGGTGTAGTTGATCTATCAGAGCTGAGGCTGGATCCATTCAGCTCCATCAATGCATCGGCCTGGTTCATGTGCTACAGGAGTGTTCTTTTTAATGTCGGAACCAAAAGTGCAGCAGAAGTTGAGCTCCACTAGTTCCAGATAAACTCAGCCAAGATCTAGTAGCATGGCTCACACCATTGAGTCACGCTACTGCAAGAAAGAGTCACGTCAGTATTGTGGAAGGTGTAGAGGATAATTGAATGGAAAGGACTTGTTGCACTTTCCTGTATTTTTTCAGAAAATGTTTAATGAAGCCAACTAGCAACGAGTGGGCCAGCAAGCCTATGCAAGCCATTTGCTCAGCCACTCCAGGAGCTACTTTGGCAACACCACCAGTGGTATTTATCAGCTGGAAGTCCCGGCGGACACGGCCTTGGACAGGCCGTCCTGTTCAAAGTGTTCCTCCGTCTTTGTTGATTTGGCATATGTCAGTATATATAAACAATTATAAAAGTATAACTACATATATTAATGTATAAATACTATACGGTTACGCCATTAAAATATGTGGAGGGCGGCCCAGGGTTGACCCTCCCGGAGGTAGTGTATAATTCCTATTCTGTCCGTATGTTTGGGGGCGACGGGCGGCTCCGCATATTTAAATGTGCAGTTCCTTCATCATTCACAACAATAAAAAACAGCAGGATCTTGCCGGGCCTTATGTGGGGACCTTGGCTCCGCGCTAGACACCTCTCACAGTTTTGGCAATTGACACACCTTCAATGTTTAACATCCCTGTGCTTTGAGTGTGGTTGGAGCTTAAAGGAGACTTAGAAGCTGGCCCCCACGGAATTGCGATGAGTGCACCATTTTGGGAAAAGCCGTTTTGGAAACCAACCATGTAGGGGGGGTCCACATAAGAAGGGTCCACGTAAGAAAGTCCACGTAGAGGGATCCACGTAGGGGGGTCCACATAAGCAGGGTCCACGTAAGAGAGTCCACGTACACGGGGGCTCCACGCAGGGGGTCCACATAAGCAGGGTCCACGTAAGAGACTCCACGTAGGGGGCTCCACGCAGGGGGTCCACATAAGCAGGGTCCATGTAAGAGAGTCCACATTGGGGCTCCACGTAGGGGGTCCACATAAGCAGGGTCCATGTAAGAGAGTCCACGTAGGGGGCTCCACGTAGGGGGGTTGACATAAGCAGGGTCCACGTAAGAGAGTCCACGTAGGGGCCTCCACAAGGGAGTCCACGTGGAAGGCTCCACGTAGGGGGTCAACAAAACCAGGGTCCATGTAAGAGAGTCCACGTTGGGGCTCCACGTAGGGGGGTCCACATATAAGCAGGGTCCACGTAAGAGACCCCACGTAGGGGGCTCCACGCAGGGGGTCCACATAGTCCATGTTAGAGAGTCCACGTTGGGGCTCCACGTAGGGGAAGCAGGGTCCATGTAAGAGAGTCCACGTAGGGGGCTCCACGTAGGCGGGTCCACATATCCGGCAGAGTCAGCCAGCCAGCCAGCAAAGTATCCCGCGGAATCAGCCAGCCAGCCACCAAAAGTACCCGGCGGCTGGCGGAATCAGCCACCTAAAGTATCCAGCGGAGTTAGCCGGTAGGCAGCCAGCAGAAGTATCCGGCGGAATCAGCCAGCCAGCCACCTATCAAAGTATAGCCATTAAGCCTAGGCTTCGTGGGGAGTACAGCCATTTGACAGGCGTCCAAAAGCGCGTCAGAAAAACAGTCTTGACATGTCTTGACTATTCTTGACTTTTGTTGATGATTTTCATGTGCATTCATCTTCACTACCAAATGAGTAGGCCTTTCCAGGCCGCGCCCCATTTTGTAGCAATCAGTGACCTTGGCCCCCTCCATTTTGTATAATTGGCCTATCCCTTCCCTACAAAATGAGTCCATTTTTTTGGGAGTCATTTTGTAGGGATGGGACGTTGGTCGCTGACATTTTGTAGTGATTTTTACTACCAAATAGGGACCCCGACCCCTCACCCTAAATATCAACGGGGATTTCACAGCCAAGAGAAGATTCTGTTGAGCTTGACTCTAGTCCGAATTGGTGAAATGATTCAAGAAATGCCTTTCCGCATGTCTTTTCCGCATGTTTTAATGGCTGGGCGGCCCCAGCAGATCCTGCACGGAGGTACACTAAAATACCTGTTCGGCTATTTTAAAATCCGCATATTTTATTGTAGTAACCGTATATCATGTTTAGCAGTTCTTTGGGCTGGAGAATGCCAACCCATCAAGTAAGATAGGTATATAAGTCCTCTTTGATAGTCAAACACTATTCAGACGACAGGTACACTCACTTTGTGATATACACCTCATCTTCATTGGTGGAGCAAACAACACCAGATTCCTAGCTGCACAAAGAATGAGAAACTTTTCTCTAGAGAGGTCAAGAACCAAAGTCGTTGAATTGCGCGTGTTTGGACCATTGACTTGCTGAAATCTGAGAGAAGCCCCTGAAATATCTTGAATGGCCCGGTTTCTTAAATGGCTTTTTATGCCAGGATTGCATGACAGTCTGGATGTGCCCATGACAATATGGTTAGCAAACGCAGTTGCTTTCTCGGGAGAATCACAGGTTTCTATCCATTGGTTGAACCACATCGAGATTGACAGCCCTTTCTGAGGTCTCACATGCAATTTATGACTATGCTGCGAGTGTGACCAACATCACGTACCAGGGCAAGGACTAACTGCGATTCAAACCTTGTTTGTGCAACAATAACGTTCAACATTAGATAGGATAAATGGATATGATATCTCATCCAATATGTTGCATGCAAATGCTAGCTGCCAGCAAGTGGTTATTCTTGCCTTGCCAGCAGTGTAGAGCGCAGAACTTACCCCCAACCTGCTTCGGTCAGGATTTGGATTTCCACGAATTGGGTGGACAGATTGCCTGGGCTGAGCCTTCCTTGATGGAAAGAGTTGAAGGCTGATACTATGGGTTGCTAGAGTCGTCGATCAACACTGCAAGGATGGCCTGTGATGTATATTTTGTCCAGTTGACCTCGGTGAGCCGATACTTTCTGTCACGACGTGCCCTCCTAAGCCGCGTTTCGTGGCCCGAGCCACCCTCGTCTTTTGGTTTTCAGGCTATCGAGTTTACCTCTCCGTTGGCTTCGATGGATTTGGCCGATCTCAGGCAAGGGCAGAGCACCAGAGTTATCGTTGGACATGGTGCTCACAAGTTAAAGAGGTTCCTTGTTCAAAGTCAGCACAAGAGGCCTAGGTGGTTTGACATTTTGTGCGCATATTCAACACGTGTGCATTGTTTGTTGTCATTGAATCATAGTGAATGATATTGATTTTGAACGGTCTTGACTGTAAACTGTGCTGAGCCAACGTGATGCACTGTACCGTGTCTTATGTCATTTCAGCTTCGGACCTCGCAGGTTGGAACTGACGTTCCGGCCGGAAGCAACGATGTCAGCCTGTCACCTGCTGCTTGGCTATCCATACATGCCATGTTAATTTTGAGTGCTGGGACAAGCCTAACCTTCCCACCTTTCCCTGTGCAGTGCTTTTATTCAACCGTGGACATGGTGCGGTCCTTTGTGGTTGGAGCATGATGAGAATAGAGCCAAGCTGTTTTTTTTTGCAACTCAGGAGCAACCACGTGGGTCCTACGACTACATCACAGCCACTTGTCCTAAACGAGGCATCAGACACTCAGAGTAACCGAGTAACCCTGCCAAGTCAGATTCGTTTCGTGACATTGGTGTTCACGCCCTGTTTAGCACACCAAGGTGTTCACAAGGCCGGGCGAGTGAGAGCAGAGCGGAGGAGGGCTGGGTGGTTGTGATTAGTTTCACTTGACCTGGTCGTCACTTCCAGATCTCAAACAAACAATGACGCATCAGAGAGGTCGTGATTTGCTGACAAGCAAACCATGTGGATGGAGCGGCTGACAAATTGAAGAGAAGAAATCTGAAGGTGATGGTGCTTGGACCCGATGAAATAGGAGCCTTGTAAATAAGGGCCTTCTTCTCTTTTGGTCTTGAGGCACTGACATTTTGCATACCCATTTTGTCCCTGTAGGTCCAGCCTAGCCGAGCAGACGACACCTTCCTTCTTGTCCATTGAGGTTGGCTTGTCGGACTTGTCGGACAGCTGTTGCCTGTGACTGCAACAAATGCACTGGACCCTTTGTAATCCTACCTTTTGAACACTGCTCTGATCATAACTGTTTTGTACGAGGGTTCAGTTCAGAATCCGTGGCTGATTGCAAACTACAATGGCAATCACTCGCAGCGATCTGGTAACAGCTTGAACAAGTAGTTCTTTGGAGGATGAAGTCTCCTATGCCCGCAACGTGAGCTTCATTGATGATGATCTTGATGAAGGAGAACTAGGCACCATTAAGGGGGAACCGGTGGAATGTGGAATAGGATGGAATAGGTACATCAAATCATTGACACTCAAAAGCAATGGCTTGACCTTTGGGAGCTCTTTGTTCCGGTTCACCTGCCATTTTTCCTGGTGCGACCTGTTAGAGTTCGGACCACGCCGCCCACGCCCCCGGGACTCGGACCAGGTGGGTATCTCATTTGGCGAGTGCCCGAGGACAGCAGTGAGGCCACATGTGATGAATCGTTCGGTTTGACCACTGGGGTCACTTGATGAGTGCTGAATCCACGGCAGTAGCAGGCAGGCTTAAGGCTTAAAGTAAGCTAAGCAATGGGGGATCAAAATTTGACATTGTGGCAGAACGGACTGTGTGCGGACTGTGCACCTCGTTAGCGCAAAATTTATGGAGAGCCTTGAGGTGACACACTACCTCATCTACCTGGCAGACGACGAGGACGGAGCCAACCGCAGTCTCTTGGGCAATGTCTCTGCTACTTGGCGGACCTGCACAGTCAGCAAACATATTGCAATCGAAGCAAACAAAGCAAACATGTTACGCCTGGATACGCCTGGTACGTTGATACGTTGATTGGTGTATTTAGGGATACTTAGGGTATCCTTTGCCTTTGCATGACGAACTTAATTTGTCCTTCTTGCAAGGGGGGTCTCACTGTTGCTTTTGTGCTTGATGCGTGACAGAAAGAGTCGATGCTGTCAACTAAAGGCTTGCGGAAATTGAACAAACTGCAGGGGTGCTTTGCCATGGTATGCCGAAATCATCACATGTGAATGAATAGAGACTTAGAACATCATAGGATGCAGTGCTTCGCAACGAACACTGCTCACTGCTCTGACATTCTTCCACATTTACTTGACATTCAGATGTCGTAATGTCGTAATGCGAGGTTGGCACCCATGAGTTCCTGATTCCCGCCGATACCGCTTTGTCCAGCTACAGGCCAACGCATTGCTGGCTTTATGAGCAACAGTCTTGATATTCTTGAGAGTAAGACAGCAGTGTCGTTCCCAGGATATCATTTACTTTGTTGGATCGTGTTTGGGTGGTTTTTGTGGAATGTGCCTTGAAGTGTTCACTATGTGCTTTTTTCACGCTAGACATGAGAGTCTAAAGTCATCTAAAGTCTATAGAGACTTGTTGATTTGTGTTGCCTTCAACAAGCTGGCTTTTGGACACACATTCAGCCTTGAAAGTCTTTTAACGGCCTTTTGTCATGCAAGTGCCAGACCCTAGAGGTACCTGACCGTCTTTGCCCGGTCCTCTTTGGCTGAGCAAACGACCCCGAGATCGGTGAGGGACTCAGATTTGGAGACTTCTCAGCCAGGGCTGCCGCTTCGGTGATTGGGACGTGCGTGGCAAAAGGGTATACCTTCATGATCTCCATGTGCTATCCAGTGTTTGAAAAGGTCCATGTATATATGTACATGTGCTTTGGAACTTGTGAGGTGGAGATCATAGACACCATATCCAGCGTTTCAAACATCAGGTTCATTGACAAGGACTGCGCGCGGAGAATCTCCTTTTGCGATGTCCAGTTGAGAAGCGGGTCAATCTTAAAGGGAAGAATGCTGAAGACTGAACATCAAGCTGTGTGAGAGCAGTACAAAAGAACTAGGACTTGGATTGGGATGAAATTGGTGGATATGTGACCTGGTCTCATCCTGTGAGCCATAGCAGAGTGGAATACTATGAGCTCCTTGGCCAGATTGATATAGATTGAACTTGAACACTTCTTTGTGAGTGTGTGTGTTGGTGCTGCAGATTGTCAAAGGGATCCCTCATCACTTCAACACAACACTGGAACAAACTATAGAGCATCACATGTAGAGCATCACATGCGACACTTGCGTCAGTGCTGCGCCGTCGGCCAATTGCCGCAAGCGGTCATGCAGGCTCTACCTTGCAACCGATGACATCGGCACGAACCGCGTGCACTGGCCCAGCGGCAGCATTGGGGCGAACATCTCAGAGGTGCTGTGGCCTCCGGAAACTGCCAAGGAGCGCAAGGTGCTTTAGGTTCCTTGTTAGGTGGCAGTCCTGCTGGACCAAAACATGTTCGGGATTGTTCGGATCATTTTTGGTTGCTGGGCCTTGTTCATGCAGTGCCGTGCCATGCCAACCTCCAATTGAATGTTGTGGGCCCTGCAGCTGCCAAAGCAATGAGACTGACATGAACATTCATGAGCGATCCCGCCACACCTTCTAATTACACACTACGTACGATCATCAATCTTAAGATGACAAGAAGCTACTAGGGGCTCCTGGCCGTACTACTAGGAGCAAGGACGCTACTAGGGGCTCCTGGCATCGCTACTAGGAGCATCCTTACTACTAGGAACAATAATCAAGAAACTATCATAACATCAACCTGATGATACCCTGATGCCCTTGGGCATCCATCAGGAGTCCTTCAGCCACTTTGTCGTTTACACCAAGTCCTGGTTGGCCGAGCAAACCACTCCAGTTGCTTTGCTCTTTGAGGACAAGGTGAGGAGGGCGAAGTTCTTCTGTTATACAGTTTTTTTGTTTTTTTTTTTGCGTTCAGCTTTACATATTCATATGAAGGCACACACCCCTGGATATGTCAAAGCCAAACAGATTCCCTCCGGTCCAACATCAGAGGCTGCATAAAGCTGGAATAGGGATGCGTATACTGTGTTCTTCGTCCAGAGCTTCCTTGGACGAGAGGTCTCGCTCGTCACAGACATCCAATTCCCAGACATGGATCTTGATTTGGAGGAGTGGATTGTGAAGTGTGGGGTGAGTATGGCGAGAGTTGGAACATGCTGTAGTATGACAGTATGATGTGCTACTGTACATGTTCTGCTTCAAATATTGCTGAGCAGGGCAACATTATATTGCTGTGAGACTTTGAAATCCTAGTGAATGCGCAGCCCCAATGAAAGTCTTTGTCAAGCTCGCTGCCCTGGCAGGACTTGGGAGGAACTTTGACCTGGGTTGCACCAAATGACACCACCCAGGTGGAAAACTATGTGGTGTATTTGGCCCAGGCACACAGTTTGCAAATGATTCGGGTCAAAGACGAGATAGATAGAGCATGATAGAGGCTTCGCAAAATACTCCATCAAGATTTGACTCTGTTTGCGTTGCTTTCGTTTTGCCAATTGGAGGCCAATACCTCAAGTGGTTGTTCCAACACGAGCTACCAATGGGAGAGCGAAAGTGACCTCTTCATGACATCGGAGACTTGCCCCACATGATTTTGACCACTTGCGCATTGCTTCAAGCTGTGAAGCAATTGGAAACAAGCGGTGCCCCAAGAGGTTTGCTTTGTCCTTGTCTCTAAGACAAGGACCCCCACTCAGAAAATTTAGACTCTACATAATGACAACGACATGATGAAGGACGAACCAAATTAATCTAAGTTTAGACATTGCTGACAGTGCAACATATGGTCAAGGACTGGTGCCTCTTATCTTATCTGGGCAACACAACAGTTGGGGTGCACAGCCTTTTTGTGGAGCCAGACACCGGTGCCTTGCCGAATACGATCACGGAATCGATGGAGAAGAAACGAGGTTGCGCTGGATCCAGCATTTCAACATCGGTTATCATTGTCATTAGCATGTCATTAGCATGTCATTGCAGTTCAGTCTAGTTCACAAGGCCCAACTGCAAAGCCCTTGGCCTTTCGAAGCTCTTTTGCAGCCTTTGCAGCTGGTGTCTGAGAGACTTCCCAGGTGTTCACCCCTTTACCCACGTGGCGATCTACACCTTGAGCTCCCTGGTGGAGCAAAGCACCCCGATGGCCTTAAAAATCTTTGATGAAAATGCAAGCGTCTCAGATATCAGGCCAGGCAGTGTAGTCGCACCAGGGGATCTATAGACATCTATATATAGACTATAAACCATAGATCCTGGAATCTCCTGGAAAAGTGCTTTTGGCATGTTTGGACATTCGTATCTTTGTTCGGCGGTTTTGGGCAATCTCTGTGAGCTATTATGTGGATGCTTTCTAGAAGTTTTGATGGCAGCTCCCGATATATTCCCATCTTCCCAAACATAGTGTTCTTCATTGTTCTTCCACTCCAGGTGTGTTGCATGTTCACAGTGCGTTTGCAACAGAGTGCCTGCGACAGGTTTATCGACGAGGATTTAGATCCGGTCGACCTGGGTGGCTTCATCGCATGGACTCCGCCCGTGTCCCTGCAGCGAGTCACTTTCTACCACGTGGACCTGGCCACGGAGACCTTGGCTCCAACTTCGGCAGAGAGGTCACAGATAGGCGATCCTGGAAGTGTAGCTTCTTGCTCCTAGTAGTGAGGCCAGGAGCCCCTAGTAGCGTCCTTGCTCCTAGTAGCGATGCCAGGAGCCCCTAGTAGTCTTCCTAGCGTTTGAGTCACTTGAGAGTGGGAGACCTTTGTCCTTTGAGCATACTTGGGGTCTACCACGCAGTCTATGATGCTCAGATGACTTAGATGTCACGTGCGTGCGCAGGCTTTGTGCCGGTGGGCACCAACGAGATCTTAGCACCTGCAGAGACAGAGCCCTTGCACTTCACCCGTTTTGTGGTCTACACACAGTCGGGCCCTCACACAGCTCGATGACCTTTCATGGAGCACCATGGTACGCTCTAATTAGTTATTTATATATATACACACTAAATCGCCTGCGACAACGTGGGCTTGCGGGCACTATGAGGGTGAAACATGTCATTAATGATTGGCTAGTACTAAAGCGATCTAAAGCGCCTGTTTTACGCAAGGTTGGAGGCCATCGCTAGCAGGTGGAGGCCATCGCTATTAGGTTGTTGGAGGCCATTGCTATTAGGTTGGAGTTGCTAAAGCGACCTACTGACCTACTTGTAAAGCGCAATTTTTCGCAAACGGTGCCTGCAGGTCCAGCCTTGTTGAGCAAACCACGCCAGTGGGTCTACACTTTGTGGACAAATCTTCGCCCACTCAGAGCCTTGACCCTGCTGTTGATACGTGTTTGCTTTTTTTGCCGAGCCTTTTTTGGCATCGATATTCTTGCCATCAGCATTCTCCTGAAAGAAACCTTCTGGGAGTTTTAGTCCGTCCGACGTTCTTTCTATCAGATTCTATCAGAGATGTCCAGAAGACTTATACAACCACCCCTTTGCTGATTTTGCCCGTTCCATAGCTTTTGGACGTCTCACTAGTGCAGAGGCAAGATGAGGCAAGAAAGCATCCTCATAGAGAAAACGCACGTTTGTTCTTCTGGGATTTTCTAAGAAGTACTAAGGCAGAGGAGTCCAAGATCTTAAAACCAAATTTCCTAGGCGTCGAACGCGTTCTGTTTTCATCAGGAACTTGTCCTTCTTCGATTACGACCTTGATGAGGGCGATCTCTATGGTGACCTTCTATGGGAAGCACCTGATGATGATTATTTTGTGTCGCTCGAACATGTGAAAACTCTTCGCACTGAGAGTGTATACATGAACTATAGGAGAATGTGGATTGGCCCGGCAGAATTACGGGATTACTCGGTGGATTTTCGCCAAGGCTGCTTTCTCAGACTGAACGCACGAGAATTCTCAGGTTGCAATATCACATCTACATGGCGGAGAACAGTACAGGCAGAGGAAGATCCTCCCTCGGTGTTGTTCCAAAAGGTGTGCCTTGTCGGAAATGACATGCTGAGAGTTTGAGACAGTCATGGAGAAAGAGACCAAGAGCATCCTCAAGACACAGGCACATGTCCCAATAAGCCATAGTTTCAGCCATTCTCAGGTGCACAATATCAGCGTCTTGGCTGAAACGCCTCTTTTGAACTACACACACTTCCTCATTTACACTGCGTCCGCTTTGGCTGAGCAACTGGTCTGCAGAAGGTTCGTGCCAAGAGCGAAACATTTTGAAGGCTATTGTATACTATTTTAGTATATTTTAAATATTGACAACCATTTGCTTGTCTATCATCAGTATTCGCTTGTGAACGAGATAGGGCCCTCACATAAACGATATACTTTTGCTTGATGTCACTAGAGGAGTCTGAACGAGATAATGTGATTTGCTACTAAAGTAGTCTGAACGAGATACTGTGACATGACCTCCTGCTTAAGTAGTCTAAATGAGATAGGGCCCCCACATAAGAGATAGTGTGTTTGAGCGAAGTACCAAATAAATGCCATCGCACATATAGTGTGAAATAGTCTTCAAGAAAAGCAAAATAGTAGTATACACCGACCAGTGGAAGCCCAGGCAGACTACACCAGTGGCATTGCTGATCTTCGATGCTGTTGCGAGCGTATCCGACCTCCAATTCGAAGACAGAGCACCTTGATTCACAAAACCTCGTACCCTTCCAAAACGCTCAAATGTTAATAAACAAGTTCAGAGTCCTTGCCCCAGACGAGTGTGCTGAAGAAGTTCTCTTCAGTAATAAATATGGGGCAACAATGTTTGCAAATGCTGAGCAACACAGGCTCCTTTGGGCTCCTTGTGTAAGCGATGAAACGACATGACAAGGCAAGTCTCGTGCTGTTGCTGGTGGAATTCTTTCCAAGAACCCATTTTCGCCTTTTGTATTTATTGGAGTGTCGTATGATACAAACCCATCGAAGATGCCTGGACGTGCCTGGGCAAAGCACCCAGGATTTGGACCCCTTGGAGATTGGTGGCAACATCTCTTGGTCTGCGCCACTGGTGGACGAACGCGTGAAGCTCTACCGGGTCTATGTGGCCAATTCACCATCAGGAGTGGGAGTATGAATTGGCAAGAAGGGGGTGTGAGTTGTTGGCTGTCCTAAGATATACAATGACATCAGAAGCAAATATGATAAGGGAGGCACAGCTTTGAATCACCTCAATTGGACATATTTATTGATTGGATATAACTCCTACTCCTACTGGCCTTACATCACCCACCATGGCCACAATATGGCCATGGCCCGCAGAGTTGGAGGCCTGGGACGCTTCCCCGTGGGGGACGCATTGAAACCGGTGACGGAAATCGCCGTGGCGCCTGAGACGCCCTTGCCCGCCGCGCCGTCGCGTGGCGAGAGAAGCGAGTGAAGCGAGACGGGGAAGACATGAGAGTGGGAGGAATTGTGTACTGTATATACTGGTAGCTTCTTGTTCCTTAGTAGTAAGGCCAGGAGCCCCTAGTACCTTGCTCCTAGTAGCGATGCCCTTTGCTCCTAGTAGCGTCATGTAGCATCCTTGCTCCTAGTTTTGTTTTCGTGGGCAAAACTGAATCACGCACATTGAGACAACCATTGATAAGGAAAGGGCGGCCTCACGATTTGATGTTGGCTTGGATGGTGCAAGTCTAGTTGTGCAGATGCGTAAGGATAGGTTGATCGTGGTTCGCTCACTTTGAGGGGTCACACTTGAGTTGCATGGGTATGACAGACGTTTCGCAACACCGTGCAACACCCGTATGTTTGTACAGCGGGCATTCTTGGAGATTTGGGGGTGCAATGAGCATGCCGAGTCCAGCACTTCTTGAATTCAGGACTGAATTCAGAGAGTATGTATATACACATTCTGATTTCCTGTTTGGATGTAGGGTATGTACATACTATACACGTACCCCGACTTTTGGCTCAAGGGAAATAAGCGCGAGCGGCCGAGCTTTGAGCGTCCATATACATTTTCATGGTAGCGGAGCTCTTGGTTACGTTGGCCGCGCTTTTGATCCACCTGATTGGCCTTTACCTGCCCGAGATTGTCGCCTCCATCGGCGTGCTGTCCGCCGCTTCGGTGGGCGCACGCTGGAGGTGGAACCAAAGGGCACTCCAGCAGCGACGAGTTGATCGCTGGCGGCGCCTGGTGCGCAAGATCTTTAGGATCCGCTCCCTCCGACGAGTTTGGGGGCATTTGGGCCACTTCCTGAACGACCGGAAGCGATGGCCACGGTTGGAGGGATGAGTGCACAGGAGCTGATCGACGTGGTACGACAGCTGAGGCAGGAGGTCACCCAGGGACAGCAGCGCGAAGCACGACTACAAGGGCAAGTTGAGATGCTAGTTCACGCTCAGCAGGCACAAGGAAGCGATCCAGGAGGACACTTCGAAGGTATGAGGCAAGCGTTCACGGCCTTGGCGCAGTCGCAGCAGGACCTCATTGAAAACATCAAGGTGCCGAAGGACGCCAAGAAGACTATGAGCTTGGTCGACAATCGTGGACTAGCGAAACCGGACAAATTCGACGGAAAGGAGGAAGGATTTTTGTACTGGCGCACTCGACTAGAACCTCGATCCATCCGGATCTGGAGGACATCATGCTGTGGGCCGAGGAGATGGACCATGAGATCATGTCGGCTGACATCAAAGCCGCTTGGGGCCCGTTGAACCCCAGTGAACGCGAAGTCGTGGACGTTGACAGCATGAACTCGCAGCTGTTTGCGGTGCTGCAGACGTTATGTGAACGTGAAGCTTTCCAGATAGTACGGAGCTCTGGGAAGCACAATGGTCTGGAGTCGTGGCGACGCCTGGTACGAAGATTTGACCCGGCTACCGGGAACCGAAGACGAGCGATGTTGAGAGCCATTCTCAACCCAAGCAAGGCGAGCAAGCTCGAAGACCTGTCGAACTCCATCGAATCTTGGGAGGAAATGGTAAGGCAGTACGAGCACAAGAAGAGACCGGACGGAACACGGCATCAGCTCGACGAGGAGATCCGCATGTCGGTGCTGGAACACTTGTGCCCCGGCGAATTGGAAAAGCATTTGCAGTTGAATCGCTCAAGATTCACATCGTACCTGGACGTGCGCAACGAGATCGTGCTGTACATCGAGGCAAGGCTCGGGGCCAAGTTTCGAATGACCGATGCAAGCCAACCTCCCGGAGGGCAAGATCCACAACCCATGGATGTTGGAGCCTTTGAGAAGAAAGGCAAAGGGAAGAACAAGAAAGGCAAAGGCAAAGGAAAAGACGGCAAGACGAAGAAGGGCGACTCGAAGGGCATCGGAAAGTGGCAAAGCAGCGGAAAAGGACAAGGATCCCAGGCCAAAGGCTCAGGTTCGCAAAGTTCGAAGACTTGCCACAACTGTGGCAAGACGGGGCATTTTGCTCGAGATTGCTGGAGCGCCGGCGGCGGTGCAGCGAATGCGAACCAGAAGCCGAAAGGCGGGAAGTCCAATTCTAAGTCGAAGGGCAAAGGCGGCAAGCACGTGTCCAACCTGGAGGAGTTCCCCGCAGAGCCGCATGCAGAGCCGATGGATACAGGATGTTTCAGCCTCGCGGGACTCGAAGTGGAGATCGAGATCGACCCGGAGATCAAGCAAGAGCTGGAGGATGCAGATCGATGCATGAACCCTTGCGACTATTGCTTCTGCCAGAATTGCGGACTGGACGAAGGAGGACATGTTGAACACATTTGCAACTTGTGCAGCATGGATTGGGAAAAGGTTCCTGGAGAACGAGGACCTGAAGTCCATTCGAGCTGCACTCAAAATGACGAAGCCGGATGACTTCGAGTACATCGTGGACAAAACGATTTGTCTCATGAGGGGAATCTCACTGAAGACCTTCCAGGCTTATAAGGACGATGTGAAGGAGAAATTGCGGAAGAAGGTCGACCCTGATGAGAGCTTGCGGAAGATGAACAAGGAGACATTGCAGCAAGTCGAAAAGCACAGGCAGGAACTTCGCTTGCTGTACTTCGAGAAGTTGACAGACGCGATCGTTGGGGAGAGTCGGACCTCTGGTCCAGGCCAGCCCCCGGGATCCAAGGATGGCGGGACGAGTCAGACCGTTGGTCAGGCCGGTCCTGCATCCGGATCCAATGAACAAGCTTCGAGCTCAGCAGGTCGTGTGGAGACGGAGGTGAAGCCCAGAGTGATGGAGGAGATGAGTCGAGCCTTTGGTTCGGCCGAGTTCCCATCAAGACCCGCAGGGTCATCCTCCGGGACAGTTTTGCACCGAACCATCGAACAGATGGAAGTGGCGAACATCGACGCTGCGATTCGCGAGAAGATGGCAGCATGCGAAGAATGCGAAACGAAAGAAGAGGTTCAAAAGTTGGAAACCGAAGTCATGGTGTTGAAGGCCAAGAAGGACAAGTTGAAAGAGAAGATTCACCGAGATGACCAGGTTACCAAAGCGAAAGCCAAGGCAGCGCCTAAGCTCACCGCGGAGAACCTGAACGACCAAAGTTGGCACGATTCGCGGTATTTTCAAGCTGTCAAGGCCGGTGCAAGCCATTCGTTGGCGTGGAGTCAAGAACGCAAGAGGAGGACGGCGACTCTACATCGCCAACAAGGAGTTGCCGACTGTGCAGCCGAGAGAATCAGGATGGACAAGGAATGGCATGAAGAGTTCGACTCAAAGCCTGTGAAGGAGGAGGAATTCGACAAGGAAGAAGACAACACGATTGAGACCGAAGCCGTGCAGGAGATGGATGACGGAACGGTGCGTGTTTTCACGGGCCAAGCAAAACGCGTGGCTCGAGGAAAGCTCAAGAAGCATCAGTTCTCCCGATTCTTCAAGTCTGCACGGACGTACCGGAAGCTCAGCCAGGAAGAAGTAGCCAAGTTCGCCGTGGAGACCAAAGACGACGAGATGCGAGTGATGGGCCGGAAGAGGACAGATGTTCTTCGCCGACGAGATCGACCCATGAGCAAGGAGAAGAAGGAATCCAGGAAGAAACGTGTTCGAAAGGCAAGGGCACGCAAGCGCAAGGAAGAGGAGGAGAAGTTCTACCTGAAGCACCCGCACGACAAGATGCGATGCTTCGATTTCCGCAGGTCACACTGTGGCAAAGGAGTGAAGTGCAAGATGGCCCACTCTGAGATCGATCGCGAGCGCTACTTCCTGCAGAGCCGCCATGACGAGGTGCAGAAGGACCTGGATAACGTCAAGCTGACCCGTGGAGAGATCAATTCGTTCGCGGTGAACGAGCTGTCGGTCGACGAAAGCGGTTGGGTCAAGGTAACCGCAAACTTGGACACAGGTGCAGCCGTCACTGCGATCCCGACAGAGTTGAAGAGCCTGTTGGGGGTGGAATCTGGAGATCCCAACGACGCCAGCTACAAGACCGCTTCGGGCGAGCTCATCATGGACGAAGGCGGTGGAACGATCCGTGGCCTCACTGAAGAAGGCTATGGAAGGAAAGTGGACGGTCGATTTGTGAACGTCCACAGGTTGCTCGTCTCAGGAAGCAAGGTGACAGCCCGCAACTTGGTTGTCATGGACGGAGAGCAAGG